GAGCAAGAGCAAGACCCCTGTCTTGACTAACAAATTAGCCAGGTGTTGTGGCGGACGTCTGTAGTCCCAGCTACTTTGGGAGATAGAGGCAAAGGAAGGAGGAAAGAAACCCCAGGAACAAAGCTATGAGACAGCATATTCATTTAATTGTTCAGATAGTCACTCAACAAACAATTATATGAGTGCTCAACACTGTTCCTGGCACTGGAGACACAGCAGAAAGCAAGACAGATAAGGTCCCTGATGCTTTCACGGAATTTACAGTTTGATAACTGTTTGGTGGGATAGAAAACAAACAAAAATAAACGAACGAGATTTCAGAGAGTGGTTATGTGTTATGAAGAAAATCAATTGAGAAAAGGAACGATTGTAGGGGGAGGTATATAAGATGGGATGGGGAGGGAGACCTTTCTGGAAGCGGCATGTGACCTGAGAACCAAAAGGTGAAGAGGCAGCTTTCTGGGGCTGAAATGTTCCAGGTGGAGGGAACAGAAAATAAAAACACCCCAGAACAGGAATAGGCCTGGTGTCTTTGAGGAACAGAAAGAAGGCCAGCTTGACTGCAGCAGTTTGAGCAAAGGACAGATGGTAGGAGACCAGAGAAGTTGGCAGGCCTTCTTAGTAGGGCCTGTGGGCCACCATAAGGAGTTTGTTTGGAAGAAGTACCATCTGGCTGCTGCATAGAGAAGGGACTGGACACAAGGACATCCAGGAGGTTGTTGCTTACTCTAGGACGTCGATGGCTTCCTATAGGGTGGTAGCAGTAGAGGCAGATGCATTCAGAGTAAATATATATTTTTGTTTTTGTATTTTTATTTTTTTGAGACAGTTTCACTTTGTCACCCTCGGTAGAGTACCATGGTATCACAGCTCATAGTAATCTCAAACTCTTGAGCTAGTGATCCTCTTGCTTCTGCTTCCCAAGTAGCTGGGCCTACAGGCTCTCCCCACAATGCCTGGCTGTTTTTAGAGACAGGTTCTCACTCTTGCTGAGGCTGGTCTTGAACTCCTGAGCTCAAGCAATCTACCCGTCTTGGCTTCCCAGAATGCTAGGATTACAGGTGAGGGCCACCATACCTGGTTGGTACAAATACGTATTTTTAAAGTAAAGCTACCCTCGGTGTGAGTAGCACAGTAGTTATGGTGCCAGACACACACACTGAGGGTGGCGAGTTCGAACCCAGCCTGGAACAGCTAAACAACAATGCTGGCAACCTCAACAAAAAATTGTGGCGGGCGCCTGTAGTCCCAGCTACTTGGGAGGTTAAGGAAAGAGAATCGCTTAAGCCCAAGAGTTTGAGGTTGCTGTGAGCTGTGATGCCACAGCACTCTACCCAGGGCGACATAGCAAGACTCTGTCTCAAAAAAAACCCCAAAATAAAAAATAAAGTGAAGCTGAAAAGACTGGCTGAATGGGGAGGGGGTGGTGAGGGAAAGGAAGATGTACTTAATTATTTCAAATGCCCTGAGAAAGATGAATAGACCAAAGTGCCCTATCAGTTAGTAGCACTGACATGGCAACAGTGACAACATAGGATCAGGGAGAGAGAATATTGTAAAACAGTGGCCATGAAGCCTTTGGGAATGAACTTGGCTTCACAGAGGAGATAGGTACTGTTCCACTGACAAAGCCAGGCTGCTATTCTGTCTCTTAGGCCATGAACCTCTCAACCTTTTGCTGCCAAGGGTTTTTAAGTAAATACCTCTGACTGAAAAAATTTGTTTTTGTCTCTCCCTACATCTTTCCATCTTTTTTTTTTTTGCCCTCCAGGAAAAATATATGTCTAGGCTCAGCACCTGTAGTAGCACAGTGGTTATGGTGCCAGCCATATACAACAAGGGTGGCAGGTCCAAACCTGCCCAGGCCAGCTAAATAACAATGATGACAATTGCAATAAAAAATAGCCGGGTGTTGTGGCAGACACCTGTAGTCCCAGCTACTTAGGAGGCTGAGGAAAGTGAATTGCTTAAGCCCAAGAGTTTGAGGTTGTTGTAAGCTGTGACGCCGCCACAGCATTCTACCAAAGGTGACATAGTGGTAAGACTCTGTATCAAAAAAAAAAAAAAATGTCTATTCTGTTCTCACAAACTCTCAATTGGGCTCAGCTTCTTTCTTCTCAGTAGTTTCTTCAGAATAGCTTTTATTTTTTTTGAGGCAGAGTCCCACTCTGTTGCCTCCAAGCTAGAATGCCTTGGCATCAGCCTAACTCAGTGGCAGCCCCTGGGTAGAGTGCCGTAGCATCACAGCTCACAGCAACCTCCAACTCCTGGGCTCAAGCAGGTCTCCTGCGTCAGCCTCCCAAGTAGCTGGGACCACAAGCACCTGCCACAACACCTAACTATTATTATTATTTTTCTTGGGTTGCAGCTGTCATTGTTGTTTTGGCAGGCCCGGGCTGGATTCAAACCCACCACCTTAGGTGTATGTGGCTGGCACCTTAGCCACTTGAGTCACAGGCGCTGAGCCTAATTTTTCTATTTTTATTTTATTTATTTATTTGAGACAGTTTTACTTTGTCACCCTTAATAGAGTGCTGTGGTGTCACAGTTCACAGCAACCTCAAACACTTGGGCTTAAGCGATTCTCTTTCCTTAACCTTCCAAGTAGCTGGGACTACAGGCGCCAGTCACAACACCTGGCTATTTTTAGAGACAAAGTCTTGCTCTAGCTCGAGCTGATCTTGAACCTGTGAGCTCAGGCAATCCATCCACCTTGGCCTCCCAGAGTGCTGGGATTACAGGTGTGAGCTACCGTGCCTGGCCCAATTTTTCTATTTTTAGTAGACAGGGTCTCATTCTTGTGCGGACTGGTCTTGAACTTATGAGTTCAAGGGATTCTCCTGTCTCCGCCTCCCAGAGTGCAAGGATTATAGGCATGAGCCACTCTTCCCTGCCCAGAATATCTTTTTAAAAAGTCACATTAAGAAAAGTTTTGAGATAAGATGGCTCCTATGTTGCCAACGCTGGTCTGGAACTCTTGGGCTCAAATGATCCTCTTGCTTCAGCCTCCCTAGGAGCTCAGACTACAGGCATAGGTCACCTGGCCCAGCAGATTCTTCAGAATATATCACCCAAGTCAAGGAGGGACTTCTACCTCTAATAAACCCTGAGTCAATGTTCTCAGGGGCAATTCAAGGTATGTGGGTTCAGGGAGGAAGAACAGTCTCTTTTATTATTTTGTTTTACCCAGTTCTTTGTTTCACATCTCCCTTTTTTTACCAAATCACAATGCTCAGCTTTTTTTGACTGGAAGGAGGCATGATCAGGCTTAATTGAATATTTTTTTGTTGGATGGCTGCTTCTGTCTCCTGGCCCTAACGTCTGGGGGCCTCTTTCAGTCTCTTGCATATACACAGCAAGCCTGCAGGGGGCCTCCGAGCTCCCTCTGAAACCACTGCATGGAGCTAGACCTCTTCAGCTAACATAATCTTTTATTTAAACAGAAACAGTAGCCACCAGTTTTGTTACATAACATTCCAGTATCTTAGGGTGCTAAACTAACACAGCCTCTCCTGTTAGGAAGTGGAGATGTGGCAACACAAATATTCACCAGCACAATATCGCTGAAATGTTGTAACAAATTTGACTTTCTGCTCCTACTTAGAATTTCAGAGCTGGAAGGGACTTAAGAGATAGATAATCCTATTTCAATCTTCCTGGTTTTAAACTGTAGAAACCTGGGTCTAGAGAGGCAAAGAAACTTGCCCAAGACGCTGATTCAGGCAAGCTTTTGATAATCCATCACAGCTTGTTAGATTAAGGATTAAATGTTAAATGGTTTTTGTTTGTGATTCCTTTTTCTTTGAAAGCATTATTTAGACTCTCCAAAGTAGTCAATTGTGAACAATGACATAGCCCCTGGGGGTAAGTGCCATAATATTGATTTATTTGAGGTGTTTTGTTTTTAGAAACTTTGGGGACTGGATTCACACGTAACTGTGCAACGTATATACGAAGTGAATTCAATTTGATTGACCAATATATTTTAAAGACAGCTGGGTGGAGTTGTAGGTGAAGTTTTGAGCCACCTGCCCTAACACCATTCTGGGTTTATGGGCAAACCAGTGTATAGAAGGAGGTTGAAATCAGCTGTGTCTCCTAAAGCATCTCATGTCCTGATAGCTGCAAAACCCCAGTGGCTGAGTGAAAAGGCTAAACCTGCTCTTTTCCCTTGCCCCTGCCAGCATTCTTTATCAAACTGACCTGCTTTCCTGCTCGGAGACTCTGCCCCACTCCACCCACCTGGTGCCTCCCTGGATTTCCTGACTGCCAAGAGCTTATTTTTTAACCTTCTCTTCCTTGAAAAGCACCACCAGACTGACCCAGAACGTAGACTCCTCCCCTCTGGTCACTCTCATCATCCTATTCTCCTGGGCTAACCATTCCCCATCTCCCTCCCTACCCCCTGGAAAATCAGCCGCAATAGGGGGCCTTCCAATTCCCTTAAAGCCTCTTTCCTACCTTGAACTCTGAAATTACAAGCAGGGCAGAGAGAAGAGGGGAAATGCCTAGCTTTTGAGCAGGTAATGGCTGGGCCAGGTGGGACTGGTACTAGCTTATTAAATTCAACTACCCCGGGGCCTGAGGGCCACTTCTGATAACTTAGGATCTGGGTTAGGGATGGCTTGCAGGGTAAGGGGGTAATTACTACCCTGGCCTCCGCCCAACACACACACCCTACCTCCAGAGAATGCCAGCCTTAATCTGGGAGAAACCCCAAACCCAAACAAACAGCCTCCTCCAAGGCGCCGAGAGCCCACCCAGCTCTGTCACCCTTCCTCCTTGCCCCGGGCCAGTAGCCTAGACAGGGGGAAGGACCAGACGCCCGTTCCACTCCCCGCACCCAAGCCCAGCCAGGGCAGAGGGGTTGGGGGGTGGGAGGTAGGGGAAGCAGGGGGCGGAGTTCCGTCCTCTGCTGATTGGCTCCACGCGGATGGGCTGCGGCCGTGCCGGGCCAACCGGCAGCGTGTTGCTATGTGCTGAGCCGAGGGGATAGGTGCGGGGGCGCGTCCGTCACGGGGCAGCCCCCGGCCCCGACCGGAGGGATGCGGAGTGGCGGCCGTGGCAGTGGCGGAGACTGTGGCTTTAAGAGCGCGCCGGGAGCCCGCGGTGCAGCCGGGCGGTCCTCTGCTGCTGCGCATCCCCGCGGAGCCGGGCCCGGCGCTGGCCGGACGGGGCAGTCTGCCGCCGGGTAAGAGGCGGGAGCGCGGCGTGGGCCGCACGCGTGGGCGCGGGGCGCGCTGTCAGCGCGGGCTCGGGGTACCGGGCGCTGGCCACCCGTCCCGCCGCCTCTCCGGCCGGGCTCCCGCGCAGGGCCCGCGCCCTCCGTCCCGCGTGGGGCGCCCGGGGGGCCGCGAGCTTCGGGGGCGGGGAGCCGGCCGCCGGGGCCACGTGACCGGTTTGTTTACAAACACAGCCGGGCCCCCGCGGCGGCCCGCGGAGGGAGCCCGGGTCGCGCAGGCCCCGGGTTCGGGGCCGGGGGCCCGTCAGAAGAGTGGGGGCAAATCTGGGGTGCAAGGTTTGGCGGAGGGAACGGGGAGATGGAGTCGCTGCCGCCGCCTCCACCGCGTAGTTCCCGCGGGTTTGGGTTTCGTGGGGTCGGGGTGGGGCTTGGGACGTTTCTGTCCCCGCGTGACGCTACGTCTCCCCTGGAGACACTTGGGTCTGGGTGCGCCGCCCAGGGGGTCCCGGCTCTGGGAGATTGGCCGCCCTCGAAACTCCCCGGAGCGCCTAACCGGCCCCGGGCCCCGCCGAGGTAACCGCAGCTGAGTTCCTGCTTCCCGCCCTCCCTGGTGTCCTTCCCAGGGGGGTGGGCGCCGGTTCTCTCCTGCCCCGCGGAATGTAGGAGCCTCTGCAGCGAGTACCTCCCGGGAGCCGGCGCTGAGGGACAGCCCTGACCCCTCCCTGCTTCTAGTTCACCCTCCTTGGCCTGCTGACCTCCTCTAGATGGGCTCGTCTCCCGTGGGGGCGGGGGTGCGAGGGACACCTGTTCTTTTGAACTTCTTGTCTGGGGGCTGCCACCTCTCGCTTGACTCTGAGCTGCAGGAGTTTAGAAAGCTAAATGAGTGAGCGTCCTCCGTTTTTATCTGCTTGGCGTGTGCATCTGACTCCCTGACTGTGCTCCCTCGTCCTACCCCTGCGAGTGAACGGCAAACGGAACTGCTCCAGAGGCTTGAGGTTTTTGCTTTCTATCCTCCTTGCTTTGCTCTCTTGCGACTAGGGAGGCTCTTTTGAGCAAGTCCCTGGCCTTTGCTGAGTTTAAAGCTAACAAGACAGCTAGTTGGTCATCTTTTTCTCTCTGCCCTTCCTCCCTTGCTCCTTTCTTCAAGCAAGATGTGGCTGTGTCCCAGAACATTGTGCAAGAAGGGTAGCCGTCAGATTCCCTGTACCCCATTTACTCAGAGCGTTAGAGATGGCATGGCACCTAGGGGGTTGAGAAGTAAGAAAATCACCTCAGTGGCTCTGGGGTGGGAGTGGGACTTGATTTCACACTTTTTTTTTTTTTTTTTTTGAGTCAGAGTCTCACTATGTGGCACTTGGCCATTGCGTCCCAGCTCACAGCAACCTCAAACTCTTGGGCTTAAGCGATTCTCTTGCCTCAGCCTCCCAAGTAGCTGGGACTACATGTGCCCAGCTATTTTTTTAGTTGCAGTTGTCATTGTTGTTTAGCAGGTCACGGCTGGGTTCGAACCCACCAGCCCTAGAGTATGTGGCCAGTGCCCTGACCACTGAGCTATGGGCGCTGAGCCTGATCTCACACTTTGGATGCTCTCCAGGATTCTGGTTCTGGAGGTCATAGGACCTGTGATCGGTGAGACTGGATTCACCCTTCCCTGGTTTCCCTTTCGCGGAGTCAGAGACTAACCTGAGTTCTGTCCTTTCATCCCTCACTTCCTTAGTCCTTAATGCTGAGACTGAGTCTCTTACATCTCATGAGAAACGTTTTCATTCCTTCCAACTCTGATGAGTGGCTACAAGTTCCTTCTCCTTAGACAGAGGCTCAGCTTGAGGATAGCTGTACAAACGTCCTTCCTACCATCACCTATCCCCAGCTCCATGGTGGGCTCTCAGGCAGGAGTGGGTTGGGAAGCTGGGGCTCATGCCCGTCCCCAGTTGGTAGTTGACCCCACCAATTTAGGGTCCAGTGACAGCATGTCTTGTGATAACTGTGCTTGAGCTAAAATCAAGAAGGTTGGGGCAGTGCCTGTGGCTCAAGGAGTAGGGCACCGGCCTCATATGCTGGGGGGGTGGAGGGTTCAAACCCGGCCCCAGCCAAAAAATACTGCAAAAAATAAAAAAATGAAATTATTAAAATAAAAACATAAAATAAAATCAAGAAGGTTGGAGTTAGGGGTGGAAATAGAAAATAAACACCATTCACAAGAATTTTGTTCTTCTTCCTTCCAGCAGCATGGCTTCCAAACTTAGAGTAGGATCCACAGTTAAGGAATACATTTCATAAGTTCCAGAAAACAATAATTACCCTTACTGTCTGCACTGTGCTCTGTTAAAAAATATTTTTTATACTTCATTAAAAACAAATCAACTGTTGGTTATGACCCATTAATTGGATTTCCTGACCAAGCAGGTCATAACCCACAATTTGAGAAACATTGCTTAGGACATAAGTCCTCCAACTTAAATGTGCATAAAAATAATTTTTATTGGACGGTGCCTTTGGCTCAGTGAGTAGGGCACCAGCCCCATATACTGAGGGTAGCGGGTTCAAACCCAGCCCCAGCCAAACTGCAACAAAAGAATAGCTGGGCATTGTGGTGGGCACCTGTAGTCCCACCTACTCAGGAGGCTGAGGCAATAGAATCGCCTAAGCCCAAGAGCTGGAGGTTGCTGTGAGCTGTGACGCCACAGCGCTCTAAAAAAAAAGATAAATGTTTATTTTCAGGCACAGGACTCTGCATCTTTAATAAGTAGCCCATGAGATTGTGATGCAGGTGGTTGATAAGAAACCCAGATGTAGTGGCAATTGGGGGCAGTGAATAATGGAAGCCATTAACTTGGATATAGAGGGCAAGGTAAGGTATGTGACCCACACTCAGCCAATCCCAAGATCATTCAGCTGCCAGTCACACTAATTTTCACTTGGAAAGTCTAAGGGCATAGTGTTGTTTTCGGAAGCCAGGAGACAGTTGGCCATAGGGACGGTATCCCTCCCTTCCTACTCCACCCCAACCCCTTTGAGGGCTGCTTTTCACTGTTCTGTACCACTAGATGTTTCTAGGTGCATGGGGGTGGGGACGTGTAGTGCTGATGAGTTGCTGTACTGTTCAGATTATGTGAATTTTCATTGTCTTGATGATTTTAATGGTTTTCAGGCAGCAACAAAGTCATTGTGCCTGGGGGGATTAACAATTGGTCAGCAGAAGAAAAGTGTTGTTTAGTGTCTGGGTATTCCAGACTGTGTTGCCTGGAGGAGTGGTGGGCTGATGACTTTCCTTTTATTTGGGGCTGGGGAGTCAGGGCTTGTTTATCAACAGGTGTTAATAAGGAAGGAAACTTCCCCTGTCTCTGTGCCTAGCCCAGTCCTGGTTCTTTGCCACTGTGATGGCCTGGCTCCTGTGTGTAAGTGGATTTTGTTCTGCCTTCAGTTTTTGAGGCTGGTACCTCTGCCTTCAGGTGCGTGCACACACACACACAAAGCCGATGTAGTCGCCAGATTTTTTTTTGTCCCTTTTGTTGTGTCCAAACGTGTTGCTAAAAGAAATTTCTTTGAATTAGTGCTACAGTTTAGCTTCAAAAATGACTCTCGGCTCGGCGCCTATAGCTCAACCGGCTAAGGCGCCAGCCACGTACACCTAAGGTGGCAGGTTCGAATCCCCAGCCCGGACCCGCCAAACAACAATGACGGCTGCAACCAAAAAATAGCCGGGCGTTGTGGCGGGCGCCTGTGGTCCCAGCTACTTGGGAGGCGGAGGCAGGAGACTCACTTGAGCCCAGGAGTTGGAGGTTGCTGTGAGCGTGATGCCATGGCACTCTACCCAGGGGGAAAGCTTGAGGCTCTGTCTCAAGAAAAAAAAAAATGACTCTCAGTCATCTACATTCAAATTCAGCTATCTGTCCTTCTTGTTAAAGGTGTGCCTTACGATAACATTAGCTGTGGGAATGTTTAATTAACTTTAACAGCGTTCAGTTAGACCAGTGGTTCTCAACCTTCCTAATGCCGTGGCCTTTACTACAATACAGTTCCTGTGGGTCGCGACCCACAGGTTGAGAACCGCCGAATTAGACCAAGCAGCTCACATTCAGAATGTTTGGTTTTGGGGAAAAAGAAAGCAACAAGAGGATGGTAAGGGGTAGGATATCCTGGAATAGGAAAAACAGAGGGAAGAGATGTTCAAGTGAGATTCCAGTGGACGATCAGGATCCGTTCCGGTTGTGAAGGATCTTGAGGCTTAGGTGCGCTCACAGTCGCATCCCCCATAGCATTTTAACAGCTTTCGGAAAAGGAAGAAACATCATTTTCAACTTGAGCCTGCAATGGGGGAAAGCTAGTCAGGGCCTGCAGGGTAAAGGTATTTTGTTAGAGTTCTTAGTTTTCGGTGATGTTATCCTTAACAACAGGTGCCACAGACTTGAGTCATTAAAGGATTGCATCTATTAAAAAATATGATTGCTGCTGCCTGATCCTTCCCTGGGAGCTGTGACTATGGCTTAAAAGTCAATCAGGATATGCTACTGCTCTGTCTTGCAGATAGAATTCATGTCCCTTCCTTATAGGCCTCCATGGCCTGTCTCCCTCCCCCAGCTTCTTACTTCGTCTACCCTTCTCCACTCTGCTTCATTCTACTCCAGCTGCACTGGCCTTCCTGAGGTTGCTAAAACATGCCTATTTTTGTCACAGGGCTTTTCTACTGGTAGTACCTCTTTTCAGGATCCCCTTTCTCCAAAGTTTGCATGCCTGACTCCTTATCTCAACTTGGGTATCCCTGACCAGTTTATCTAGAGCAGTTTCTCCCCTCAGCCTCTCTTAATCCCCTTAACTTTTTTCCAAAGTACTTTAATGCCGTCTGGAAATATATTATCTACTTGTTTGCTAAAAGGGAAGCTGGAGAGCTTTTCTGTTTTGCTCACTGCTGACAGTATTTAGTGTGGAGCCGGCGCTGGATAAATATCTGTTGATTGAATGCATGAATGAGAGCTAGGGTTTAGACTCTAACTTCACTTTCTATAGTA